TTATCCAGAAGCCTGGCACAAAGCACCCTGCCGGAACACAAAGGGCCCCTTTGTGTCTCTGCTCACGGGTCTTGGCTCAGGATCTGGCCCCAAGACGCCACGGGCCAGTTCCTTCTTAGCCTCAAGGTTGAGGGTGACAATGTGGGGCCCAGCTGTGGGGTTGGTTTTCATGGCATGGCCACCAGGAATGAGACAGACGACCCCCCCACCCAATTCATTCCACGAACAGCCCAAGCAGATGGCAGTGGTTGTCCGCCACTGAGGCCCGCAAGGCGAAAAGCTTCAACCCATGGAGGCACCCAGTCCCCGTGAGCTAGATTCCCACGTCGACACACACAGCACATACTTGTTACTGCCTAGCTCCGATATAGACATATACGTAGCGCAGCCAAAGAATCGTTCGCTGGCGACATCCCGTGACTCCCTCCCTCCTTGCCGTGGAATCATGCAAGCCCTGGCAAATCGGAGCCCAGTATGATAACGATGCCACTTAACGTGAGTCATTTCTCCCGCCAAACTCGGTGAGGAAGCCGGCTCCCCGGAGGGCTACGCTGTGCTGCTGAAAATAAGCACCTGCAGGCCCCCAGATGAAATGCATCATCAGGCCCAGCTCGAAGCCGAGGGGGGGCCAGGAAAGCGCTCCGAGATGGGACGCTCCCATGTCAGTGAGAACTCTAGCAGTCTGGCCGCGCGGGGTCCAGCAGCTGGGGTGCAGAAAGTCGTCTAAACCGCGGAAGGGAATGGGGAGAGGAGGGGCACGCCGATCTCGGATGCATCCCCCTCCTCCCAGCCCTCCAGAACATCCACTCAAGTTCCTAGCCCAGGGTGTCTCATCCTTCTTTTAGGGCCATTGTAATAGCAAAGCCGAGCCGCTTAGGTGCAAAGCCTGAATTAACGGCCCACGCACGGTATGTGGAGCGCGCAACAAAGCAGGTATACGCAAGCAAGAAATGACTCCTGGCGTCCGTGTGGATTTGTCCTTCCCTGATCGGTGGGGTTGCTTGAGGGGGAAGGTCCGGCTCAGCACAAGGCAGAGGAGAGGCCAGGCACTGCCCGCGCCCGTAGCACGGGTCTGACTAGCAGCCGAGCCGAGGAGGCCCTGCTTAGGCCAGAATCCTAGGGCATGACCCCTACACAGCTCCAGGGACGCCCAAGCAATGCCTGCTGTACCAGTAGTGTTGTTTGCACGAGAACCTGTGACCAAGGGCTTTTGGGGGGCATAGACGTAACTCTTAGAGGTGTTGGGAGAGACCATGCAGAGACCAGCCTAGGGCCGGGGCCAAGGGAGGGCAAGGTAGACGGGTGGGTGTTGTTTCAAAAGCCGTCTTCTCGCTATGCTGTGCTCCTGCTTTGCTTTAAGTGGGCTGGTTTGGGTCACTGGATTCACCGCTGGTCCCAGCTCCCGGAGGGAAGAATCTACACGTCCCATGGCCAGCCGGACCTGCTGGGGAAGCGTGGTCGATCCACAGGGGGCACTATTGCAGGATTGGGTCGAAGGGTGGAGAATCGCAGTTTGCCACCCGGGGGGGAAGTAAAGGCACAAGGCCAGAGACTGGGGGGGGGGTAGAGGACAATGTGCATTTGGGCCCTGTTACCTGGGGTGCCCGGAGCAATGGATAATTATACCTACACCACTGCTTCTTCCCTCCCCCCTGTGCAACACCTTTTCCTGCCCCAAAGGGCTCAGGGGTCAAGGCCTCTGGAAAGATACAACCCAGCGTAGACGTGAAGGGGGTTCGGTCCAACTTTGCCAACCTCAAGTGGTTGAAAATGGTGAGTCAGGCCCCTGAAATCATGGGATTGGCTTTGAAATTGGTTTTAAAATAATAAATGTTTGAGTCTCTGGTGTTCGAGCCATTCGGAGTCACATGGTCTAGAGAAGGTGAGAAACTCTTTTTAAGACGAGAGCTGAGATTCTCAATCACCTGAGTCCAGGAGCTGGGGCTTTACGAAAACTTCCACTATCACGAGACTCGGGATAAAATTGCAGCAGTTGGCGGCACTTGTTCCTCTGTCTTTTTATGCAAGGGTGGCCGACCTGTGCCCCGGAGCCCCATGCGGCTCTTCAGACGTAAACATGCGGTTCCTTGTCTAGGCACCGACTCCGGGGCTGGAGCTACAGGTGCCAACTTTCCAATGTGCCGGGGGTGCTCACTGCTCCACCCCTGGCTCTGCCCCCACTGCACCCCTTCCTGCCCCCTCCCCAGAGCCTGCAGTGCCCTCGCCCTCTCCCTCTTCCCCCAGAGCCTCCTGCACGAACCAGCTGATCGGGAGGTGCGGGGAGGGAGGGGAGGTGCTGATCTGTGGGGCTGCCGGTGGGCGGGAGGCGCTGGAAGCGGGGGGAGCTGCTGCAGGGGGCTGCTGATGTATTACTGTGGCTCTTTGGCAATGTACATTGCTAAATTCTGGCTCCTCCTCAGGCCCATGTTGGCCACCCCTGTTTGTATGGGTTACTTAGCAGAGGGGCATGGTCTTGGTGCTTTTAAATTATTCATGACTCCGGTATTGACCCTTCGCCTCTGGTCAGCCTGTGCTAATCTCCCCACCTCTCTCTCCACCCTCGCTACTGGTTGGCAACGTTGAAACTGGCACCGTCAGCATGCCTGCCTGTGTTTGCGGGGTCCAATAGGCAGTGGGCATTAGGGCATGAATTCGGCAAAGCCCTGAAGGACACGTTCCAGAACATGCTTAGATCCCACTGACTTCAATTGCACTTAAGTGTGCGCTTAAAGTTAAGCATGTTTAAGTACTTTGCGATCAGGGCCTTGATATAAACACACGGCACGGGGGTGCGACCCAGGTATCTGGTGAACGAGGGCTTACCTCTGCCTCAGTTTCCCCCTGCCTGTTTCACGTGCTATAAACCGGTTGCTTAAGAAGCAATGTGAGTGACGTCTGAGCCTCGGGGCGTTTCCCGCACTCCCCTCTTTTGCTCTGCATAGGGTTACGTGTCGTCACCCCACCCAGATTTCTGCCTTCCGTTTGGCCCTGCTTCCTGAAGTGCTGATGTAGCAGGGCAGAGCAGTGGCGTGTCTCCTTGGCTAGCTGCTGCCTGCTCGTGGGGTCAGGGGCTGGGAGGCAACCCTTTCTGAGAGCAGGGGGAGAGCTCTCTGCTGCAGTGGTGCAATTTTTGGTCGCCCCCCTCTCCCGCCAACCCAGGCAGGCTGCGTGGCCCCACTGAGGGGAGTCAGGGGGTGGAGGTGGCGTTCCACCCGGTCCTTGGCAGACCCCCTGAAACCTCCTCACGGCCCCCCAGAGCCCCAGTCAAGAACCAGTCCCTTAGTTAACCAACCGTTGGCTTTAACCTAGCTAGCACGGGTAACAATAGCAATGAAGATGCCCGGGTGGGCAACCCAAGTGCATAGCTGGGTTTGTACCGGGACGGCTAGGCCCTGCTCAGGCTTCTGTCACCGCATCCCTACTAGTCTCGGTTACAGCTCCCACGGGTGTGTGCCTCCCTGGGCTGGAGTCACAGCTTAACCGGTGGTGTAGATGTAGCCACGGTGTCAGGTGGGTCAAAGTGACCAGTGGGGGAAGAGGGGGTGATCTGGGGGGTGAGGGGCAATAAAACGACTGGCGTTTAGCAGAAGTCCCAGCCCTTCGTCTGCCTAGTTATAACACTCCTCAGAGAAAGGTCCAACAGCCAGGGCGCTGAGTGGAACTCAGGACGCCTGGGTTCTATTCTGCATAGGTTTTCATGCCGCCCTCGTTGCTAGGGTAGCCGAGCACCTTCCAGTCGTTCACTGAGCCACCTGACTAACATCTATCATGTGGCTGTGCCTCTAACCCTCCCATGAGGCATGTCCTCTCCGCAAGCCTCAGTTTCCCCTGCCACCCTTGGTCTGTCTTGTCCGTTCACACCCTAGGGGCGGGGACTGCCCCTGACCATGTCTGTGGACAGTGCCTGGCACAATGGGGTCCTGATCTCCGTTGGAGCCTCTCGGTAGGTTTGAAGGAGGGTTTCAGACTCCCCCCCAGAGCTTTCCCTGCATGGCGTACTGTAGTTCGGGCCCATGGGCTGCCCACACCTCTCCGATCACCGTGACTTCTACCCTCAGATGGTGACCACGAGAACCCACCAGCTATTGGTCCATGCGAGCATGACCCGAAGGAACCTGGCTAAACTCAACCATCTTGTTGTGTGTTGGTTCCCCCGCCTCTGGCTCTGTTTCTGAGCCCAGTGGCCTTATGGCGTTGCTGCCACCGGGCATCTGAGACAACCAGATCCTGCCTCTTTTCAGGAACTGGCTCCGAAAGGGTCGGGGATGTGTGTGGGGGGGAGAGAGGATTTACAAAATAAAACTCCTTGGACAATATACACCGACATGCAGTGGCCGTCCCCTGGGAGACACCGCAGCTCAGCCCGGCCCAGCATTGCCCAGCCGGGATTAGCTCCCAGGGCTATTCCAGAGCAGCCCCAGTGAAGCAATTCGTCTAACAGGATTTGGGTAATCCCCAGCTAATCCCCTCCCCTGCCTCATCTACCTGGGCCTGACCTTTCTCTCTGGATCAGCTCCTTTCGCTTCATCTCCCCTCCCACCCCAGGGTCAGTTTTCTCTCCTCCTTTCCCATCCCTCCCGCTATTTGAATTTGCTGCTCCCTCTCCCTTCAATGCATCTTTCCCTCCCCTCCCTCGGCCTTGTCTATTTTTACCCTCCAACTGGGCCCAACGCTCCTCCTCAAACCCCGAGCCATGCCGTTCCCGCTTGCTTTTCACATCCTCTTCACTTTTACTCTCTCTCTGCTTGCGGCTTATTCACTCTCTCCTTCCCAGGCTCCCTCCCCACGCCTGGCTCCCTTCTGCCGCAGCAGCAAGGAGACCTATATATCACAGCCAGCGAGGAGGTGTGTCTACTGACATCACCCTATAAATACTGTGCGGCAGTGCAGGATCATAAGGGGGTCTGGGGGCGGGGGGCCGGGGGAGTGTGAGCGCTGCACGGAGGACCGTGCCTCGGAATCTCTTCCCCCCCCAGAAAGGGGAGGCTGGGGGCGCGGGCAGAGACTTGGCAGCTTCCTAAGCCCATCTTTCCCTGCTCTCCCCGGCTGGCAGGGAGCCCCGGGCAGCTGCAGGCGGCAGACAGAGCCGGGACACGCCTGGCACCGAGTGGTAAGAGGCATGCACTTTCTTAGGAGTTGCGGCACCACGGCTAAGTTGTTGCAGCCGGACGCGGGCTGCGCTGGTAGAGGCATGCCGGTGGCATGGGCAGGCGAGGGTAGGGAGCGGATCTGTGTGTGTGTGTGTTCGAGGTGGGGGGAAGCAGCTGTCTCTCCCTGTGGCTAGCTATTTTCTGCTCCTAAGAGCTGTGGACGTTGGTGGCGGTGGGCAGCAGAGTGAAGGGGAGGCGAATGACTGACGGGCGCTGACAAACAGGAGCCAAGCGGGCTTCTCTCCTACATGCCTGGGTCGTCGCTGAATGCTGCGTGGAATCACGTCGCTTTGACTTTGCGTGGGTTTGGTGTTCCTCGGGCAGTTATATCCCTGAAGCGATTTTTGAAATGTACCCCTGCTCCCTCAAAAAATTCCCCATCTCCGCGTATTGAACCAGTTCCTGGCACGGATCTCCAGCTGCCCTCTGGAGGAGCGTTGTGCGCAGGGAGAGGCGTATTAACGACTGGCCTATGGAGAGAGGGCACCGTGCCCAGTTTCTCCTCCTTTGCCGCCACTCGGCCCCGCTTTTCTTGCCTGCGGTGCCTGATCCCTGCGGACGCGGGACCTGGCCAAGACGCCCGTGACTCCCTCGGTCCCGGCGTGGCATTTTGGGTGGGAAGCTGGGCTCCGTCGGTGCATCGAGGTGGTGATGATTTAAGCATTAATACGCTCGCGCTCTCTCTCTCCCGCAGGGACTGACCAAGCAGGCAATTGCTGACAGGACAGGATCCCAAGCAGCGTCGTCCGGGAAGACAGAGGGCGTCCGGGCTGGCGGGCGTCGCGGGAAATGTTAGATTAAACCCGAGCTGGGGGAGAGACAGGTAACTGCAATCTCCTCCCTGCACTCACAGCGGATGGCACTGGGATTATTACGGATGGCTGGCCTGATGGCAGCATGCTCTTGACCCCTTGGGGCTGCCTCCGATCCCCGCGCTCCCGGAGTGGGAGGCTGGCAGCCGGAGCTGCGACTCTGGGGGTGCCCAGGGGGAGTGTTAGAAGTTCTGGGAGCAGCTCTACCGACCTTCTCTCTCTGCCCCCCACCACCCACCTCTGATCCCAGTCCATCGCGCTCTCTCAGCACCTCCCAGTGCCTGCTGGGACTGGTGGAGAGCCCCTGGCGTGTGAGTGACCCCTTGCCACCAACTTCCTGCCATGGCCTCGTCGGATGGGCTGCAGTACCGGGCGCTCTACGAGTATAAGAAGGACCGGGAGGAGGACCTGGCGCTGTGCCCCGGGGACCTGGTCACTGTCAGCAAGGCGGGACTGCTGGGCACGGCCGACTACAAGGAGGGGGACGAGAGGAGCCCCAAGGGCTGGCTGAACGGCTTCAACGAGCGCACCAAGGAGCGGGGCGACTTCCCGGGCACCTACGTGGAGTACCTGGGCCCTGTGAGGATTGTGGCCACCGCTCTCAAGGCTCGGCCCAGGCCTGTGCCCCCCACCCCCACCAGCCAGCTGTGGGGTGAGTACCAGCTGAGGATGGGGGGTGGGCGGGGAGCGTCTGTTTGATGAGTGTGTTCCTCTCCCCCCGGGTACCGGCCTCTCAAAACTCCTTAGACCAAGGGGCGGATGTTGTGGGGAGCCACTCTCGAGGCCCCGGGCTAAGGTCAGCCGCGCCGCCCTGAGAGCCCATCTCCCAGGGAATGGGAGGACCCCCTGCCCACGCACCCCTTCCTCTTTGGGGGCAGGGCTATGTTCAGACAGCTCCCACGGTCTCCACGTGGCGAGAGGTCAGGCAGCTGGGCCTCAAACCCCGTGGGCTCTATGGGGCAAAACTGGCCCATGCCCCCACAAAGCGGTTGCTCCGTCAAGCACGCCTCCGGAGGGTAGAGAGGGGAGGGGTACATGCCTACAAGACACCTCCTCCAAGCTCGTCTTTGCATGTAGAAAGCAGGGGCCGGCTGGACATGTGGCTCTGGATGTTTGAGCCCAGCCGGGCACGCGGCTCCTAACCAGCAGCAGAGACTCAAGGGCAAGTCGGCGCGACGCAAGCCGGCTGGGAGTTTGCTGTGCTGGGGTGGGGGGGGGGGGGATGGGATTGGATATTGGCACGGAGTCCTGCAAGCGTGCCTGGGGTCTCACAGTCAGGGCCTGTTAGAGGCCTCGATCCTGATCACGGGGTAGGACTCTGCTGGCTCCTGATTTACACTGGCCTGCATGAGATCCGGTTCTGGCAGGTTTGGCTCATGGAGCAAGCTGGCTTTGGGCTACTGGCTGGCATCACAGGTGACTTTGAATAGCCACCAAAGCTGGGGCAGGACGGCGCGGCTAGCACTGTTGTGGACCCCCGGTTCTGTGGTATTTGCCAGGTAGTCCTGCCTCCCAATCCTCGGCAGAAGAGACTGGGGCTTCCTTGACACCGGGGGAATTAAGTCATCCAGGGCCCTCTGGATGCTTGGGCTGCAGTTTTCCGCTGGGAAGTGGGGTTACCTCTGCCGGGGCATGAGGGATGGCAGACCCAAGAGCTCCCTCAGTGTCCCAGTGGAGATGCACGCCAGCCCCAGAGATCAGATCGGCTCAAAGTTTGGGGGGCCTCGGATCTGGGAGGGGGACGCGGTCGGTTTTGTTCCGAGCATGTTGCAACGTATGCACCGAGCCCGTCGCTCCTCTGAGCCAGGCTGGCCAGAGCATCAAAGGCTGAATGAATGGGATCATTTACGTGGGCCATACAGCTCAGCAGAGCGTGTCCGAATTTGTACCAGTGACAAACAGAAGCTGGCAGCACTGCGAGCGAGCCCGGGGCTAAGCGCCCCTCCACTTCTGCAGGCGATCGGGTGCAAGAGCTGGTAGGGAGGTAGGGGAGAAAAAGCCCCATAGCATGCTACCCTGGGGAGCCAAAAGACAGGCTGAATGCCCAGCCCCCAGCAAGACAACTGGTCAGTGGGTAGGATAGGGCATGCAGTGTAATGCTGTCACCTTGGTAAAGCTCTTTTGAGATCTATAGCTGGAAAATGCTGGATAACATCTTGTTATTGCAGCTGTGGGGGACCACAGAAAGGAACATCAGGAGCTGTATGGTCTTAACAGATATGCCCCTATGAGAGGTGTAGGATTTCCTTTCAAGGACCCACTGACGGCAGAGGGAAGGTGGTATGTTTCTCCCTAGCTTAGAGTCCTCGCTGTCACTTACTGTTTTCTTTCCCCCCTCCCAAAGTGACTTCCAAACTCATTTCTGGTGTAATTAGTTGTGTATCTGTCCTGCTTTAGTTTCCTGTGTCTTGCAACTTTAAATCTGAATCAGCTCCATGCAGATTGTTATAGAGGGAGGGGTACACACTGTGCTCTCACCGGAAGGCTTTATATTCGTTCTTTCTTGGTCAGTTGCTATTCAGTTGATAATGAAACTTGTTCTGACTTGGTCTGGGACTCACCCCTGCAGTGCCTCCTGCTGGTTGTCCAGGGAATTAGTATTCCAGCCCCCAGAGCACCCTCTGCAGGCCACGGTCCCATTTGCCGCTGGGCCCCAAGTCCCTCCTAGACCCCAGTGCCCCTTTTACCCAGGGTGCTGCCCCCTGGCAGTACCCCCAAAGATCTGGGTCTCCCCTCCCTGAGGAATCCCCACCTCACCTCAGTCTATGGCCACTGCCAGTCATCAACTAGCCCCCATTCCCTGGGGCCCACTGCAGTGTAAACGCCACTCATCGTAGGCAAGAGGGGTTTGGACCTGCTGCCTTTGCCTACCTTTGGCTTCCCACTGCAACCCCAGTACCTATTTGGCCTTCTTCTAGGCCTGCAGCCTGGGGGGTTTCCAGGTCGGAGCTCCCCAGGCCTTCCTCCAACCCTGCTCCACTCCAGGTACTATGGTACACTCCCCAGCAGCCAGGCACTTCTCCCTCCGCCTTTATAGGGCCAGCTGCGTCTGGTTGGGGCATGGCCCCAGCTGCGGCTGCTCCGCCAATCAGCCCAGCTTTTCCCCTGCCCCAGCCCTCTCCCAGGGTTGTTTTAAGCCCTTCAGGGCAGGAGCAGGTGACCACCCCGCTACACTTGGAAATACATGGCTGCTCTTGGTCTATGGAGAACCCATAAATCCTGACCGTAAGGTCAAAGAAAACTGCAGCAAAACCCTTCTCTTTTCATGGAGTCACTTAAAAACAGGAGCACGTTTCTAGCCAGGGTGCTTGGTGAGTTGCAAATGTATAAATATTTGTAGAGATTGCAAACCGAGTCCGATGCTGCTGTTTGTTGCATGACATGGGTGGAGTCTCAGGTGGAATGTTCTTGGGTCCGGTTTCTGCATTAGCAGTGTCCTTATCTGTGTTGTATTTGAATGAGGATGCCCAGAGGGCCTGATTCCGCCCACCCTTGGGCCCGGATAAGTCGGGAATCGCTCTGGAGAAGTCAATGCAGTTCGATAGCCTGAGAGGAGAACTCAGTCTGTGGGGGAAGAAAATTAGGTTTGTTGTTGTTACTGCAGCTTGATCATTGCTACGTGTGTGATTGTGTTAAAGAAACCCCATTTGGCTGCCCAGAGGAGAGGGGAAGGGCTGAAGTGGAAGGCTGTGTAAACCCGTGTTGCTGGCAGATCAGGGTGTCAGACTGGCTGGAATTTTTCCCCCGCAAAGCCAAGCAGTTTTATAAATCTGTTTAGGTTGCAGGGTCTCACTGGTGCAATGGTTCCAGCCATGAAATCTCTGGCTAACGTCACGTCTCTCTGACTTTCAGATTATGCAACTGTTTTTGTTGGAGGGAGGAGGGGTTAAGGCAGTGGCTTTCAATCTTTCCAGACGACTGCACCCCTTTCGGGAGCCTGATTTGTCTTGCTTACCCCCATGTTTCACCTCACTTAAAAACGGCTTGCTTGCAAGATCGGACACAAAAATACAAACGTGTCCCTGCCCACGGTTCCTGAACAATTGCTGACTTTCTCACTTTTACAATATAATTATACAATAAATCAATTGGAATATAAGTATTGTACTTACATTTCAGTGTGTGGGATATAGAACAGTATAAATAGTCAGTGTCTGTATGAAATTTTAGTTTGTTCTGACTTTGCTGGTGCTTTCTATGTAGCCTGTTGTAAAACTAGGAAAATGTCGGCATAAGTTGTTGTACCCCCTGGAAGACCCCTGCGGACCCAGGGATGTGCGAACCTCCGGTTGAGAACCACTCGGTTAAGGCACCAAACTGGGACTCAGGACACCTGGGTTCAATTCCCTGCTCTGCCACAGACTCCGTTTGTGAACTTGGCCATGTCACCGAGCCTCTCTGTGCCTAAGTTTCCCATCTGCAAAGTGGGGAATAACAATCTACCCATGGTCTGCCTTGTCTATGACTATAAGCGTAACGCCAGCCGACCCTGGTCATCGGCGGGCGGGATCGAACCTGAGACTTCTGAAGCATAGCGTGTGAGTCTCTACTGGCTGAGCTCAAAGGCCCCTAGACTCTCTAAAGGGGGGCAGAGCAGCACACCAGGCAGGCATGGGTTACATAAGCTCTTTGGAGTAGGGACTCTCCCGCTGTCTTTGCACAGCACGCAGCACAATGGGGCCCTAAGCTCAGTTGTGGTCCCCTGGGGCTATTGCACCTCAGATTAGAAATTGGTTGCTAAGGCCAACATCGTCAAATGTAGGGGCTTAAACTGAGGCACTTACCTCCATATTTAGGCACCTGACTAAAGAGACCCTGTCTGTCAGAGAGGCCAAGCACACGCAGCCTCTCCCCCCCGCTGACTTAATCTTTAAAAAACATTGAGTATAGCTCGGATGGGGGTGAGCCAAAACCTCTGCTTGATCGCAACCCGTGTGCAGTTACATAATGCACCCGAGCCAAAAGAACCAGCCTGGTTCGTTCTCCTCTCCGCCAGGCCGTGATAAAGGAGAAATCTCTCTCTGGGCATAAGGTCTGTTCGTTTCCTGGCTGGGACCTCTGCTGGGGTTTACTCAGCTCGACACAGCGTGACCTACCCGTGGCCGAACTCTCTCAAGGACCGGCTTAGTATCTCCAATCCTCTGGCGTCTGTCTGCCTGGCTTGTGTCTCGTGCGGGGATTTCGAGCCAGGTTAGCAAAAGGGCTTGTGTAGATCTGAAGCGGGCTGGAGCATTACGCCGTTTTGCTGATTTGAATGTTGGTTTCCTTTCTTCCTTGCCATCTCCCTGAACTCGATGAGCGAGCCCTGCGTTGAGAGGGCATGGCTCAGCAGTGCGAAGTCGCGGTGGTGGCTGGGAGCAAAGGGTGGTAGCAATGCCCCATATGGCGCTGCAGGATCATGCTGCGCCTGAGAGGCCCACAGAGAACGTGATGGATTTAAAGGAGGATTAGCCTCTGAGGAGTGACATGAAGGGGTGTCCTTATTAGATTTTTCTAGTCCTGACTATTAAGGCTGCGAACTCCTTGGGATTGGCAAGCCCAGCTGGCTTGCCTCAGCAGCAGTGATGCTTCTGTGATAGAAACCGAGCCGGCCGTTCTGTTGGCGATGCCCTGGGCACAGCACAGAATCCAGCTCGCTCTGCCGTAGCCGGCTGGGCTCTGCAGGAGTAAACGTTTGCAGGTGAATAAAGGACTAAATTCAGCTGTGCCCTGCCTCCTTGCAGCCATTTACCCCGGTGCCAAGCGAGTAAAGCCACTCCTGAAACAGGATGGCAGCATTTTGCACCTACTTTGCATCCATGTAAGCAACCACACGCAGGGCAGGGCAGTGGCGGATCAAGCCCGGTTTGCACGCCGACACAGGGAACCGTGTTCGTATAGCTGGCTGCTCACTCTTTATTTTTAAAGCTATCGCCGTTAACCCAAAGACTCAGCTGGACCTGGAAGTGGCTGCAGAGGGAATTGCCCTAAATTAACTTTTGACAGGTTGCCATCAATCAGGGCTTTGCAGCCTGTTTCCATGGGATTTCTACCCACTCCCCGAAGAATACAGTTCTACTAGCCTCCTGTAAGGTTTCCAAATACACATCTGGGTTGAGTTTCTCTGGAAAACAGCCAGCAACGGTTACAAATACCGAGACTCCTTAAAAGGTGACGACAGCGCGCTGGGTTGACAGGCCTGTCAGAGGATGAAAGTCCTCTCTCTCATGAGCATCTCATGATCCTTACCATATTCATCCTCGCAACACCCCTGTGAAGTGGGGAAGGGCTAGGGCTTGTCCTCAGATGCCTGATCTGAGGCATGCAGAGTGTCCTCCTGATGTTGCATCATTATAACGCGTGCGTTGGGATATTGCATCAAGAGGCAGCCATTATGACATTGCAACTCTCTGTCCTTGGCAAGTGGGCAGTGTCAGGACCTGCACCAGGATTTTCTGTGGCCAGCTCTATCCTGGTATGGGATCTGCCCCCTTCCATCTGGCTGTTCAGAGGGGAGGGTGTCTAGTGGCTCTCCTGTTTCGTCTCCCCTTACCATGCCTGGTATTTTGACCATGCTGCCGTGCCAGTCACCCTTGGCAGAGATCTAGGTAAAGCAAGTAGAGCGCTGAGCTAGCCTGCATGCGACTCTAGATCCAGAGGAGGGGTGTCTCTGCCTTGTTCGGTGTTGTACAGTGGGCTGCCTTTCCTATGGAAAGGGCAGTATGGAATCACAAGGCGTGTCCTGGGCCAGCGCAGAGCTGTGCAGAGTTGTCTGTGCCATGCCTGCCTTCGTTATGCCCCGCTCTGCTCCGCAGTCTGTCATCTGAAGGACGGGTTTATTCAGTGAACGCTGTCTGCCCTGTCCGCGAGCAGGTCACGGTCCTCTGAAATGCCTTGCTGAACTTCAGTCAATGAGCCTCGCCTTGAGGATCACAGGTGAAGAGCTCCTTGTGCCTCTTCCATCTTTGAGCTGGGCTGGGCGGTTTTCATCTTCTGGGGAAGGATCAATCCAAAGGGGCAGGGATGCCGTTCACCACAAATACTCACAGTGAGAACGTTGTGGTGTTTGACCAGTTCTACCCATCGCCAGTTCTCCCTAGTGACTTGATCCAAATTTGAACCTAGGTCTCTAGACATGAAAGGCTCATAGTTAAGGCTACATTTTAGTCACGGGTATTATTAGTAAAAGTCATGGACAGGTCACGGGCAGTAAACAAAAATTCATGGTCCATGACTTTTACTATATACTCCCATGTGACTGGGGTCCTGGGGGGGCCAACTGAGGTCACTCAATTAGGATGAACTGCAAAGAATGGGGCAGACAATCCCCCAAACTGGTGGATATTCCAGTACTTCGATTTACCAAGCCAGCATAAAACAGCTTCCTTATTACCTCACTGGTTATTCAAAAGTCCAAACAACACGGTTTCCTTATAGTGATCCAGCCACAGGCCTCCATCCAGGTACACATGTCAAATATGATGAGGATTAATGAAAATCTTATTCATTATGTAAGAAAGTTCTACCAATCCCAAAGGATCGGACACTTTACCTCCCAGGTTAATGAATATTTCAGATCTTATCCAAATACATGCTTACAGCCAATTCTTATTAACTAATCTAAAATTTATTTTAAAGGAAAAGAGAGACAGTATTGGTTAAAAGATCAGTATACATACAGACATACGTACAGTTCTTGAGATTCAGATTCATAGCAGAGTTGGAGAGCTTTGTAGACACGAAGAGGTCTTTCAGAAATAGTTCATAGGTTATAGTCCATTGTTTGTATTCAAGGTGGTCCAGTCAGGACTGGGATCTCAGTCCTTAGGGCTTAGGCTTCCCCTGCATGAAGCATCAAGCAGGTCTGAGATGACAGGATCAGGACCCAAGGGTCTTTTATACAGTTTCAGGTCTCTTGTGACAGCTTGGAGTCCTTAGGCAAACAATAAGCCTCATGGGGACTTGGAAGTGGACCATTTCCTAAGCATCGCTGGTAATTATCCACACAGATTAACATAAGGCAATTGCCTGCTTTTCCATCATTCGCAGCTGATTTGCTGTACATTTCAAAGAGAAATGAATGCAGTGATATCCTATGTTTACAGTTCATTTAAATGTTAAGATGTCCTTTTGATCTCTGAATTAACAGAATACAGCATAGACAGGGACTGTTCGATTACATTATTGACCTCTACCAATACATATGTAAACACACAAAACCACAAACATTATCTACCAATATGTTTTTAAGGGTTGAATATGAGTCATTTATCCTGCAGGATGCTTAACCTTTCTGGTCATGCATCACACCCTGACTAAATTTTGGGTGGTAGGGGTGGTCCAAGGGTGCTGCATGGGCTGGGGGAGGTGGCCCAGGACTCCTGCTAGTGCTGGGGGTGGGAGGGTTGGCGGGGCTGGCAGGGGTCCCTACCTGGCTCTATGTGTCCCTGCAGCTCCTAGGTGGAGGAGGAGCTAGGGGGCTCCTCGCACTGCTCCCGCCACAAGCGCCGGCTGCACAGCTCCCATTGGCTAGGAATCGCAGCCAATGGGAGCTGCGGGGGCAGGGCCTGTGGGCCCTCCACCCTGAGGTAAACATGTCCCCCAGCTCCCTGCCCCTAGCCCTGAGCCCCCTCTCGCACACTCAAACTGCTGCTGTTGACCCACGGGCTGCCCAGCTCGGGCAGTCCCTGAGCCAGCACCGGCCACTGCAGAAGTCACAGAGGGTCATGGAAAGTCACAGAATCGGCGACTTCTGTGACCTCTGTGACAGACTCGCAGCCTTACTTATAGTCCATAGCCACATGGTGGCTGTATTTCTGTCAATGGTATATTTAAGTTGCAGGAAATTATTCAGCCACTAGATGTCTGTGGGTGCAGTACTGAGTTCCAGGCCGGGTGTGTTCACTGGTAAACAAGGGAGGCAAAGTTGGAACTCAAGTTGTGAGGTGGTGCCTCTTTGTGTCTGATTTTATGTTAGTTTTTCTGTAATCAGCTCCTCCTATTTAAGACACTGATTTCATTTCTACTTGAGCTTTAAGATGGGCATTGACTGGGGCTGGAATTTACATGGTGGAAATGAGCATGTAACACTGGCTACATTTGAGTGTCTCCTGCTAGTGGCATTGAGAAGAGCCTGCTGCCTATGTCTACTAGAGGGAGCCCTTTAGAGTCTTTTCCTTTCTGAGCCCCCCACCCCAACTCGCCCATTCTATAAAAACTCCACGACCCACCTGTGCCACAATAACTGGTTTTGTGCATATACAAGCCAGGGCTGGCGTTAGGGGGTAGCAAGCAGGGCAATGGCCTGGGGCCCCACGCCACAGGGGCTCCCGTGAAGCTACATTGCTCAGGCGTCAGCTCCGGGTGGCGGGACTCAGAGACCTGGGCTTCAGCCCCATGCGGTGGAACTTCAGCTTTCTGCCCTGGGCCCCAGTGTATCTGATGCTGACCATGCTTGGATGCCCCCCCCCCCCCCGAAACCTGCTCGAGGCCCCGGGCCCCTGGTTGAGAATCACAGCTTGAGATCAAGCAGCTGGGAAAATCTTGGTGCGGTAGCTGCAGACCTATGCCAAGAGCTGTGAGGTTATTACAAACAGCGCTGGGGCTATTTCCATCCACCGAAGCTTCCTTTGTCCTTGCTGTTGGCCGTTGGCCGAGTTTCACTTCATTAGGTGTAATTGGGATTTCTCGCTCCTGGCTGGACAAACCAGAGAACTTTCTTCGCTGCATGACAGTTTATCAGAGGGTGCTTGGTAATGAGGGCCGCTGACCTTCAACTGGGGAAAGGGAGAGGAGAAAATGGGTTGGACACGCAGAATTTTAAACAGTGTTTGTTTCCCTCATGCACTGTGAAAACCCGTCCTGAATGTGAATTCACCTGCCACGACCCGAGGTCCGAGGTCCTTTGTTTTTCCTGCAGCCACTGTTGGCGTGGCTAATGAACGGGAAAATGCTTTGCTTTCAGTGCTCCAATTCCGGTCGGGGATGGTAAGTCAAGGAGAGCCGCATTTTCCCTAAAACGCTTTGCTTGACAACATGTGTGCGAGTGACATGGCTGATGCACCGGGGATCAAACCAGGGATCTGCAGAGCTAAAAGCATAAGCTGCTGCAGCTTGAGCTAAAGATCTGTAGCTGGGGCTGTAACAGAATCGTGTTGTCTGTGGATTGGGCACACAGAGGGGCCCTGCAACACTGGCCAGTGGGGTGCATGTCTGCAATAAATTCTTTATGCTGCATGTACTTAGGGGGCCAGCTGGTCCCATGGAGTGGAATTGCCAGAGGAAGTATTTCGTCAGTGACACCAGCTTCACATTTGACTCTGGTTGGCAGCGGCTCAGAGCTGTTGCCATCCACAACTGGCCACCTTGCTGAAAAGCGAAGGGACTGCTGGGCCTGTGAGACCGCACGCCTCTCAGCTGAGGTGGTCCTGCGGGGCTGAAGCCCTTCAGGCTGTGGTGGTGGCAAAGGGAGGAACCCAGGTTTGTCTCCTTGCACTGGAAATTTACCATCCGTCCGTCTCTTCCCCCCCCCTCTCCCCCCCCCCCGCAGCTCCAGGGCAGAGTGAGCTCATTGAAAAACTCAGACCCAGCTTTTGATCTCTGTACAGCTACATGGGGGGTCACTCTGGATTTATCGCAGGGTGAATGAGATCAGAAGCTAGCCCGGAACGTCCGCACGTACCTTTTGCGAATGACTTTCTGTGCCTCGAGACTTCTTATCCCAGTTTTTCAGGAAGCTCTTTCGTTTGCCATCGACGGTTGTGCAGTATGTCAGTACAGTTTGCTCTGCCGAACACCCAGCCAAGGATCAGTGTTGCCCCTTGGTTCCCCCAGAAGGCTGGAGTAGGACCTGAAATAGGTTGTGTAAGAGGGGTCTTTATTTAACAAAGCTCATGTCTGACTGGAGACAGACTAAAGATGTTGCAGCATCCGTAAGTTGTGCTTACTACTGTTGTGTGTTCGTAAAGTGCTCGGGTGGTGAAAGGCAGCTGTGTACATTAGGGCAGGGGGTCAGGTGGGGAACAGCTGTAATAGCCCCCCACCTCCACTTCTCCCCTGAGCAAGTGCCCTCAAGGTGACCATTGCACATATAGTATGTATTTACCCAGAGTGGACCATGCATACATGGGCCTGTTGTGTTTATAATTGCACGGGGAAGTATATATAAAACAGACCGCCATGCTAAAAACGTATCCATGATGTCTTAGAAATAATGCATAGATTTTATGTGCCTCGAGTTGATGTGAACCCTGATGAATTGCTTCGAACTGACAGAACTTAGTTCTGCCTGAAAATTAAATCTTCCCAACAGGTCTGCCTACATTTAAAACCTGGCTCATTTTTTGTAGGCGGGTGTGTTACTCTGCCCCCTGCGCGACAAGCTTGGGTCCAGTCTAATGTGAGCGTTGGCCTGGAGAGAGGTTAATCTAAGACCGTTGGAAGATCCTTCTTTGTCTGTCGTTGTTTATTTGTATTACTGTAGGACCGTCAGGGCCCCCGTTGGACAAACACATTGCAAGCTCTTTGGGGCATGGATTGCTGATTATTGTCTAAATGGACAGGACAGCCGGGGCAGAGAGGTGAAGTGATAGTCATCTGCTGAGGGTATTTTGACCTGGAAAATGCTGACTTCTAGGCTCCACTCCTCAACTGGTGTGAGGCCACATTGTCTGCCGATCAGTGGAGTCCAGCTGAGGACTGAACCCTGTTCCCCCATTTGTGTGCATTAACTGGGAACAGTTGTCTCCATGTACTGGTGGTTCTCTGTCTTTTCCACACCGGGGGGATTCTCCTCCCATCTAGCCTGGACTCCCCTTCCTTTTTATAACGTGGGACGGGCAGAGTAGACAGCACCCTTGATTCCTGTGCTTGACCCTGAGGCTGGGAACCCGGGACATACATCCTAGTCGCTAAGCTATGGCAAGAGGCGTTTGTGTATAACCCACCATGTGCTGTGGGCGGCTATAGCCTACTGATCTAAGCACAAACGCAGCATTCAGAGGAGGTTGCTCCGTGGAAACAAGAGGGCAGAGATTAAGCAAACTGGTCTGCGCGGTTTAAGCAGGTTGCTGTTCCGATATTGCCAGGAACACGGTAACCGCTGCCCAGAGCACCATGCTGGTGTAGGAGCTGCGGCGTCTCCAGAAAGGAAAGGAACCGGCATCGTCACGGGGTTGGTGCTTGGTTTGTGGCACTATCCTCGAGAGCCGATCCCCTTGCTCCAAAGGGCCCTGCAAGTTGTTGCTCGTTTCGACCGCCCCGCCAGCTCCGGTACTTCAAAAGGGAAATATTCAACTTGGAAAAGATATGACCCGAGGAGGGGAGAATATGACAGAGGTCTATAAAATCATGACTGGTGTCAAGACGGTGAATAGGGAAGTGTTTTTTACCCCTTCACGTGGCACAAGAACTCAGGGGTCACCCAATGAAATGACTAGACAGCAGGTTTAAAACAAAAGGAAGTACTACACACAGCTCACAGTCAACCTGTGGAACTCCTCGCCAGGAGATGTTGTGAAGGCCAAAAGTATAACTGGGTTCAAAAAAGAACTAGATAAGTTCATGGAGGATAGGTCTATCAATGGCTGTTGGCCAAGATGATCAGGGGTGCAACCCCATGCTCCAGGTGTCCTAAACCTGACTACCAAAAGCAGAGACTGGACCCGATCACTTGATAATTGCCTTGTTCTGTTCATTCCCTCTGTTCAACCCTCACCACGCTCTAGGACTTGGCACTTTTATTGAATTCCTGTGCAACAGTCCTGTGTTTTCCTCCTCCAGGGGAAGGGTGGGAGCAGCAGTGACACCAGGCACTAGGGACGGGTGTGGGGTGAGGATCGGGGCTGGGCACCGGGGGGTGGGCGTGGAGAGGGGGTGAGGATCAGGGGTGGGCGTGGAGCAGGGGGTGAGGATCGGGGACAGGCACTGGGGACGGGCGCAGGGTAAGGATCGGGGACAGGCACCAGGGACGGGCGCAGGGGATGGGGGTGAGGATCGGGGCCAGGCACCGGGGACGGGCGCAGGGTGAGGATCGGGGGCAGGCACCGGGGACGGGCACGGGGGTGAGGATCGGGGCTGAGCAGCGAGCGTCCCTGGAAGAGTCAGGGACGTAGGTGCGGAGGGGAATACAGCACTTCGCAGTGCTCAGCACCGGTGATGTTGCAAGCCGACTTTGTGGCGCCCTCTGAGGGAGGCTGCTAAGGCGGATTTCCTTGGAGTTTAGTTCCTGCATCTCGTAAGCGCACGAGGTGTTGAAATGCCATCTGGTCTGCTGCAGTGGCTCCTCCTCCTGACCTTCTGGGAGAGGACACGGCACATCAGCCGGGCCCCCCCCAAGCAGCCCTGCCTCTGGGCAGAGATCTCCCAAAGCACTGCCCTGCATTTTGTGGCCTGAGTTGGCCTGATCCCAGTACCGTGGAGAGGTGCAGGTGGGTAAAAGATGAGGCAGTTAAATACCAAGCCACGTAGCCTCCTCCCACCTGGCTTTGCTCACGTTGCCTCCAGAATTCACAGCCCGGGCTGCACAGTGGCAGAAGGCATCTCCCTTAAATTACCATGAGCCTGGTGTATTCACCCTGCAGCCTGCTACCTTTTCTCCCACCCATCCCTTCGGCCCTTCTGTTTGGATCACACTTGTGATCGGTTTGAGGAGTGGAACCGGGGGAGCCAGGGCCAGGTTTCAGTGGGATCTAGATCGGTCTGACAGCAGGGGGCTTGGGGATGCAAGGCCAGGCCAGGCAGGGGGCTTCTTGCCCATTAACCCTGGAGCCTCAGCAGATAACGCTGGCCTCTCCGCTACAACTCTGCCGGCCTCCCACAGCGCTCAATGGCAAATGAAATAACTGGGTTCCCCTATGAACGATGGATGTCCATCCATCGGTTTGACACTGCCAGCCATCTTTGCTCTCCTACTGGGGTGGGCGAAAGGACCTCTTACTCTGAGCATGCTCATTTCACTGCAGCTCCTTCGCTCGACACCCCAGCCTCTACATCCTCAGGGCGCAGGATTGCCACCTTTCTAGTCGCACAAAAACTAACATCTTAGCCCCGCCCCTGCCCCGAGGCCCCGCCCCCGCTCATCACATTCCCCCATCCTCCCTCACTTTCACTGGGTTGGGGTGCGGGAGGGGGTGAGGGCTATAACTGGGCATGTGGGCTCCAGGATGGGGACAGAAATGAGGGGTTCAGGGTGCGGGAGGGGGCTCCGAGCTGCAGCAGGGAGTTGGGGTGCGGGAGGGGGTGAGGGCTCTGGCTGGGGGTGCGGGCTGTGCGGTGGGGCTGGGGATGAGGGGTTTGGAGTGCAGGAGGGGGCTCCAGGCTGGGGGTGGGACCGAGGGATTCGGAATGCGGGAGGGGGCAGGGGGTTGGGGTGCAGGAGGGGGTGAAAGGTTCAGCGTGTGGGAAGGAGCTCAGGGCAGGGGGTTGCGGTGCAGGGGGGGTCTGGGCTCCGGGGTGGGTTCGGGGATGAGGGCCTTGGGGTTCAGGTGTGGACTCAGGGCTGGGGCAGGGGGTTGGGGCGTGGACTTACCTTGGGTGGCTCCCAGTGAGCGGGGCAGGGCTAAGGCAGGCTGCCTGCCTGGCCTGGTAGCGCACTGTGCACCAGAAGCAGCCAGCGGGTCCGGGTCCTTGTCACAACCCCCTCGGTGCGCATTGAGGGCTGTCTTTCTCGTCACCGGTTTGCCTTCCCGTTTCCCAGCAGCCCTGTAGCCAGCCAGCAAACATCCCGATAACCCGGTCACGTGCAGCATTCACAGGTGGTCCCAGAGCAGCCCCAGGTCTGTCACAGGCACTCCACCACACCTCTGCCTCCCAGCCCTGCCTGCGTCTCTGGGGGCTAGTGACGGATACCAGTGGCTGAGATGAGGAAGTGTCGGCTTCTGCGTACGGCAGTGGACTGAGACTCCAGAGATCTGGGTTCCGCTTCCACCCCTCCCCAGAACATCCTGCTCTTCTAAGATGCATGTATCAGCAACTCTTGCCTTGGTTAAGCTAAGCCTGCTGACCTGGCTAATTTACAGCCTGCTGACTTGGCTGCTTTTAGCAATAAGCCATAGTGGTTTTAGGCACTTCACTGGTTTGCCAAAGTCTCCCCGTACACAGTCACTTCATCTCTCAGTGGTTCAGGTTCCTGTCTGTACAATGGGTACAGCGCTCCGTCTTCTCCCTCCCCACTTTGTCTGTCTGGGCTATTTACATTGTAAGTCCTCCAGGGAAGGGCTCGTCTCTTACTATGTACAGCACCAAGTGCCATGGAGCCTCGAGGTGCTGTTGTGACACAAATACAAAAGTCCATTGTTATTAGCCTCACTGTATAAATGCAGGGATTAAGCCCAACAGAAGGTTTAAAACCAGCGTTGCCGAGTTCAGAGCTGGTGTAAGTGGCACGGTCCATAGACTGAAATCAATCTGATTAAGGCGCCTCTGTTGTCACAGCATATGCGTGTGTCCTGACCTTGACTGGGTTGAGCCTCACAACCCCCCAGTGAGGCAGAGCAGCATGGTTACCCCCATTGTCCAGATGGGGAAATGACGCACGGAGGCAAAGTAACTGACCCAGGGTCCCACAGGGAGAGACTTCAATGTGGATCTTCTAGATCAGTGGCTCTCAATCTTTCCAGAATAGTGTACCCCTTTCCGAAGTCTGGTTTATCATGCGTACCCCAAGTTTCACCTCACTTAAAACTATTTGCTTACAAAATCAGACCTAAAACTACAAAAGTGTCTCAGCACACGGTTACTGAAATATTGCTTACTGTCTGCTTTTTACCATATAATTGTAAAATAAATTGATTGGAATATAAATATTGTACTTACATTTCAGTGTGTAGTATACAAAGCAGTATAAACAAGTCATTGTCTGTAGGAAATTTTAGTTTCTACTGACTTCGCAGGTGCTTTTGATGGAGCCTGTTGAAGAACTAGGGCAATATCTAGATGAGTTGTACCCCTGCGAAGACTCCTCAGACCCCTAGTTGAGAACCACTGTTCTAGGGGCCTAGCCACCGGACCATCCTTTCTCTCTAACGGGAATGCATCTGCTTAGGCCAAATTTGAATGTAACCAGAGGTGGCAGGTCTGAGCACCCAGCAGTTTCCTATAGCTAAACACATCCTGGAAGTGCACAGGGTACGCCAACGGTCGTACCTGATGCTAATGATCAGCCTCTTCTGTACGTGGCCTGGGATCATCCTGATCTGCTAAGCAGGGACAGCGATCCACAAAACACAGATGAGCTTGCACCGTAGAAGGCACAGGAAATTAACTGGCCCTGGCGAGCAACCCCCAGCAATCGAGTCACTTGCAGAGCTGTTTTGATCTTAGATTTCTTGAATGATTTCTGTAGCTAGCTAGTTTCCTTGCTGAATCCACCCCTGAATGAAATATCTCCAAGCCAGGGTTGACCTCCAGTTGCAGAGAAGGCTCTGTGCTTAACACTCACACGCACGTACACACACACGTGTGCAATTGCATTTCAAACAATAACAGCAACAGCCATAGCACAGGGCAGCTGGGCTGCAGTCAGGAAAATGTGGCTCTTGCTTCCCACTGCGTCCCTTTCATCCCTCCCAGTTGGCCGCGCTGGTTCTCTGGCGTGTGATGGCTTTTGACTAATTATGCTGTCCCCTGCTTATGCCTGTCTGTCTGAGGCTGATTGTCTTATTAATATTGTTTGCTTTAAGGGCCAGGAGCAACACAGAGACAGGGGACCTACCCTTCGCTTCTCCTTTTCCCATAGCGAAACCGTTAATGTCTCGGGAAGCAGCATGACCTAGTTCAGCTGTTCTCAAACTTTAGCAACCTGAGGACCCCCATTTTGGTTTTAAAATATTTTTTGTGGACCCCCCAGGCCCTCCCGCTCAGCCCCAGGCCCCACGCCCCCTCCTCTTCCCCGCCTCTTTCCACCCCCTCCCCTGAGCATGCCCCGTCCCCCCTCCTCCCTTCCCTCCTAGCACCTCCTGCATGCCGCTGAGCAGCTGTCCCCCCGGCGTGCAGGGCACGCTGGGAGGGAGGGGGAGGAGTTGATCAGTGGGGCCTGCGGATCTCCTGGAGTACCCTTACGGATCCCCGGCGGTCCGCGGACCCCAGTTTGAGTAATGCTGGCCTAGTAGTTAGGGCTCGGCACTGGCAGTCAGGGGACCTGAGTTCTATTCCTGGCCTTGTTTTGTGCTTCTGTTTCCACTCCCATCCTTTGTTCCTACTGAGCAGTGAGCTGTTAAGGTGTGCTGGAATGCACTCGCTTGTCCACTGTTAGTACAATAGGCCTGTCATAAATATAAAGGGAAGGGTAAACACCTTTAAAATCCCACCCCTGCCACCATGTCAAGGTTCCTTCCCCACTCTGAACTCTAGGGTACAGGTGAAAGGGTTTTTCCTCTGGCCAGGAGGGATTTTAAAGGTGTTTACCCTTCCCTTGATGTTTATGACAAGGCCCCTGATCTCCATGGGCCGGCAGGATCCTCGAGAGGTCATCCAGTCCTGAGGCAGGTCCAAGGAAACCTAGCCCGTCCCTGACAGGTGTTTGTCTAGCCTGTTCTTAAAAACCTCCAGGGAGGGGGATTTCCCAGTCCTGGCACTCAACACTGCGACAGATGACATCACTGGAACTCCCTTGTTATTTAAGGGCAGATTTATAGGTAACATGCAGCATTTAGGTACAGCCCCATTACTCCCCTGTGGTATGAGTAGCCCCATACCACACGAGCAGCAGTGTCATTGCCTTCCAACGCACCCCAGAGGGACAATTCAAGGTGTGGAAGCTAATCACAATCTGACCCACTTCTGGCCCTTTAGATGATTCCCAGCCTGGCCAGCAATCCTCCTGTCTGGTCTCGGCTCCCCTGAAGTTACTAGGCTTCCTGTGACCTACCCTTCCATGGGAATTAACCAGACATGGGCCTGATATGAAATCCCAGATTCAAACGCCCCAGAATCAAGGTGCTATTCCAAACCCGCACTTAGATCCAAGTCTTCCAGCTGGTTCTCATGAGCTGAACCGAAACCCCAGAGCCACAAATCTCCCAGAGTCCTGGGCTGTTTGAAACCCCATTTCAGGAGTGTCAGTTTGCATCTTCAGCCCGTCTTCAGCTTGAATTATCCACCAGGCCACTTCCCCCCTCACCCTCTTGAAATTCCCGGTGCACCCATGAGGTCTCAAAGAAACCAATTGACTCATCTGTTGATCTGTGTCATCCATTTATCTCGTCTGGGAGTGGTTGATCTATGTGGAGGGGGAGGGCTCTAGTAATCCTGGAACTGAAGCGGATAAGTGCACCTGTTACCGTGGTATCTGAACGCCGAGTGGGTGAGAAAGGAAGAGCGTGGATGGTTAAATTGTGGAGGGAAGGTTGGGGAAGGGGATCCACTGAGTGTAACTCAAACAGAAGGCTAGAGAACAAGGATGGAACGAACAAGTCTCGTGCCTCACATCACACTCATCTCTTGTTTGTGTTACATCCCTTTCCACCGCTTTTCCTCTGTCTTTGTCGTAGGCTGTCTGATGTCCTGTGGATAGGGACGCCACAGGGTGATGCTGCCGTGATCTGAACCTGGCAGTGTTAGAGTGGGTCTGAAAACAGAATCCCTGTCCCAGAGGAAATCCTGATATTTCCGCAGTTATTTTCATCTTGAATCAGGACGAAATGTAGAAACATCGACAGTTGTCATGCAACTAAAAGATGTGAAAAATGTCAATCCAGACACATCAAAGTCGTTTGTTTTGACTTTTTTTTTTTATTTGAAACAAAATGTTTTCTCCTCAGGGTGCAGAGAAGAGCCACGAGAATGATCAAAGCATCAGAAAACCTTCCTTCTAGCCATAGGCTCAAGGAGCTCGATCTATTTCGCTTAACAAAGAGAAGGTTTAGGGGTGGGTTGATCACAGTCTATAAGTGCCTACATGGAGAACAAATATTTGGTACTGGGCTCTTCAGTCTAGCAGAGAAAGGTCTAACATGCTCCAGCAGCTGGAAGTTGAAGTGACACAAATTCAGAATGGAACTAAGGTGTATATTTTTAATGGTGAGTGTAATTAATCACTGGAACAACTTACCAAGAGTCGGGGCGGCTTCTCCATCACTGATAATTTTTTAATCAAGATGGGATGTTTTTCTAAAAGATCTGCTCTAGGAATTATTTTGGGAAGTTCTCTGACCTGTGTTATAGAGGAAGTCAGACTACATGATCCCAGTATTCCCTTTGAATCTTGCAACCTAAGAATCTCTTCCATTTTCTTCTTTATAGGTTCTTACAGCACCCTCATCACCAGAGTATCTGAGCAACTTCCAGTAGTACGTTAAGCAGCATGATTAGCACCTGTCACCTGTGCTTTATTCTCTCTCTCATCCTCTCCCCCAGGGGAGAACTGTGTGCACATGGAAGCATTTTGTTCCCGTAGGGTTTTGTTTTTTCAAACGCACAAGCTGCTCTGTGTGTGTATATTGAGAAGGCTGGTCGGAGGGGCGTGCCGTGACGTGAAGATGACATTTTAAGTTGAAGTGTCAATTTGAAATGAATCGGTCGGTTCTGAAACAACCAATTTGCTTCAGAAAATTGAAAAAAAAATCAAACCCAACATTTTTCCCATAGAAAAATTTGACAAAAAATACTTTCTGACAAAACCCAGAACTTTTCCTCCTCAGATTTGTAATTGGCTCTAATCACTGTGTGTACGGGAAGTCGGCTTTATCTTTCCTTTGGTGCAAAGCTAAGGCTGGTGTGGCCAAGCCTCAAGTATCAGCCTGCAGGGACTGACAAACCTGCTTTTGTTCCCCTTTGACAGCCATGCCAAGGGGAAGCTACAGCCCCAACGGCTGCTGTTGCTACCTTGATTGCTTTGGATTGCCCTTTTAATTTTGACTGTCCCCTGTTGCCACATCATGCAAATAGGGTCGTTAAGGTTCCATATGGCTTTATTAGTTCAGCAAGTGGAGAGGAGGGAGATGCCATTCACCAGCTGTCTGCAGCCAGATCCCCCACCAGTCCATCTTACTGGCCCCCTGCCTATGTCCACCATAGGTCATTCCATCAGTCACTGTGCAAATACAAACTGAGGGGAGGCGGTGGGTGGGAGGGAAGGGCTGACCGTGACCTATATAAACGGAAGAGAGGAATCGCTGTCTTCCCTGAATCCAGAACAAGATTCCTGCCTTGCCTTCCAAACTGTTGCAGGTTCCTGAGCCCCTTTTCCCCTGGACCTGTCTCGGGCCATCTTGCGTGATGTTGTGGTGGTCTCCAGTAACGGTGCAGCTGCTGGGTGAATGGGAGCTTTGTGGGGGCGCGGTGCTGGGGAGAGGCACTGGGGAGGCCAGCTGCAAGGGGCCCAGCTTGGAACACTCCAATGGCCAGGGCTGGGTGGCGGTGGGGCTTTGGGGAATGTCCCAGTGGAGATGGAGGGCTCTTGATCTCCAGTCCCTCTTGGAAGGAGAGGACGCTGCCCCCTGCGAGAACTGTGCAAAGCGTCTTCGCTGCCTCAACTGCCCAGAGACTTTACCAAGGCAAATGCAGTTTAATCCTCCTTGAGTTTCCTTCCTCCCATTTTAACCAGACATGATGGGAACCTGGGACCTTAGGCACAAACCCTCTGTCACCTGAGGTGAGGGAGTAGCTCAGCTCAACTCCACTGAGGAAGTGGCAGTAGTAGGTTGTTATCCTCTCTGCTAAGGGACATGTCACACAATACTTTGAGGGTATCTCACCCCCCTCTTATCTATGTTAACTTCAGTACATACCTAGCCCCCATTACTGGGGACTCCTGGTGGACTTTCCAGGGCGGAGGCCATCTGTTCATTGCGTACAGCTCCTAGCACAATGGGGTCCTAAGCCCAGACTGGGGCCTCCAAGTGCTACACTAATGCAAATAGTAATTCTCGTCTCTTCTCGTGTATTTACTCCACCTGCTGAAAAGTCCTGATCTCTGCAGACAGGGGTAGAGAACGAGCTCAGGCTGACACGGCTCCTTTCACCCCGGCATGCATTATGGACAGATTGTGTGGTGTGTGTGCTGCTTCCCC